ATGCACCTCTTAATGCTGGTCATCAACACCTGAGATATATATGTTAGGACCCATTCTATCCTTGTAACTGTAATCTGTTTTAATTTGTTTTAGACATCGCATTTTCAAATAGCTGTAACGTACCCTTGCCCCTTATGGCGAAGGGTGGGCAAGAAATCACCATCATCATCAACATCAAGTAATAATAAAACAATTATTGCAACTTGCCTTATAGGGCTCTTGAAGAATATCCTCACAGCAGCCTTAGAAGGCCAGGCTTATCCATCAGATACGCTGCCAGCCTGTTTGCTGCGCTCACCACACTTCCCTTCCCTCCCTCTCAGACCCTTCAACCTCGCTCAATCTCCTTTAGCCCCCTCCCCTCCAATCCCCAAAGCTACCCCTCCCCCAACAGTTCACAGAGGGAATGAAGAGGAGACAGACTTTCTTTCCTTCTCCCTCCCGGTGCTGCCCAAATGAAGTGCACATTTTGAAATGCAGACTCCCTTCTGCCGGCAGCACACTAAGGGGAGATAGACTTCAACCTGTGGTGAGCTGACAGTGGTGGGGAGCTTGGGGAGGGCTTGCCTGTGCTGCCCTCCCAGCTGCCCACTTGCTCATGCCATTGGACCACCCTCTCTCACTCAGCCAGGCCGCCTGCTTGCTTGGACCCCAGGCTTACCTCGCCTTGTTATGCACACATGTGAGCAAATAAGCCAGTGGGCTGGTGTGTGGCAGCCACAACGACTATGGGGAACATGGGAAGGCCTGGTGGCCATTTCAAACCTGCTCGCTCTGCTTGCCTGCTTGCTTCTACTGCTGCCCTTCCTGCTCCACTCAGTTGCCGTATCCAATGTTGTCATGCTGCAGTTTGTGTGGCCACCTAGTGGTGGCCACACAAACAGCAGCATGACAATTTTTTTTTTTGTAAAAATCTTATATAGTAAGATATGGCTATGTATGTATATAATAGCAATGGCCGAGTTGACCACCTTATTGTTTGCTTGCTAATGATTAGTGATGATCACTTGATGTTTCACTAGGGTTGTTCATCTGCTTACTAGAATGTACGGTCTCTGGAAGTTGAGTCTCCATGTGGGGCAGGCATGCGCTCATCTTTAGTCATCCAGTGTGTGTGTGTGTTTTGATGCATGCACATGAACGCGGAGTCTTCTCTAGGCCGCCACTTGCTGCTTCACATGCTGCAGCTGCCCACGTTAATTTGAAAAGTGGTGGACTCGTAATCTGGTGAACCGGGTTCGCGTCTCCGCTCCTCCACCTGCAGCTGCTGGGTGACCTTGGGCCAGTCACACTTCTCTGAAGTCTCTCAGCCTCACTCACCTCACAGAGTGTTAGTTGTGGGGGAGGAAGGGAAAGGAGATTGTGAGCCGCTTTGAGACTCCTTAAGGGGAGTGAAAGGAGGGAAATGAAGTCCAAATTCTTCTTCTTCTTCTTCTTCTTCTTCTTCTTCTTCTTCTTCTTCTTCTTCTTCTTCTTCTTCTTCTTCAATGCATGATACAGCAAGCACTTTCCTCCCTAGGGGTATGTCATTTATCAAAATAACAAATGTGTGTGCTCTTTGCTGCTTCTGATATGTGGCTGAGTTTTTCTTAATTGGTTGTCTCCCCACCCTCTACTAATCAGTATCTGGACAGTAAATGTCATCTGATCTGGGCAGATGGGCCTCCTTGTCTTTAGTAACTTAGCACTAGAACTGGTGGACATCCGGTGAAGCTGAACGTTGGAAGATTCAGGGCAGATAAAAGGAAACCCTTCTTCATCAAATAGCACATAGTTAAACGATTGAATTGGTTCACGCAAGAGGCAGTGATGGCCAGCTGGCTTTGAAAGAAGATTAGACAAACTCATGGAGGGTAAGGCTATGAATGGCTACTAGTCAGGATGGCTTTGTTCTGCCTCCCCTGTCAGAGGCAGTTGCTGGAACTTGCAGGAGGGGAGAGGGTTCGTGCATCCCGGTCTTGCTTGTGGTCTTCCCATGGGTGTCTGGTTGGTCTGAGAGAACAGGATGCTGGACTAGATGGGCTACTGGCCTGATCCAGCAAAGCTCCTACTGTGTGGAAGGGGTTTGAGAATAGCCTTTTTTTATGTTTGCTGCCTTTCAAAAAAAAAACAAAAAACAAAAAAAATGCTCAAAGCAGTGCACAGCAATATTTAAAGCCATTGTAATAAACCGAGTAATAAATTCACTGAGCAATATATAAACAACATGGAGACAGCCATAAAAACAGCCTTGGCTCAGCTGATAGAAAGCCATGCTTTACTATAAATTCTCATATACAAACAGTAGAACTATGTTTCTTGTACTCTGGAATAAAGTGATAAGAACATGAGGAGAATTGCCATATTGGATCATTCATAGATCTGGCACGGTATTTTGCTTGCCATGTGACCCTAAAATGATTTCCAGAACATAAAAGGGATGATAACTGTTATGTACTAAGCTTGGATCCTAGAACAATAGGCAGGTAGGATCCTAGAATGCAACAACTGATTGGCCTGCAGGAGCAGCCCAGTCAGACCCCAGGAGGGAAGCAGAATCAGCCAATTAGACGGGACCCATTGTGTAAATAATGTATATAAAGCCTGAGGTTTTACACTCTGCCACTGAGCTACAGTCCTTTCCTAATTGCTTGGAGCTATCTTATGCTAGCCTTTAGGTCTCTCCCAACTCAGTGCTTATGTCCTTTATGACATCAAAGTATGACACTTAAGAATCATAGAGGCTGCAATCCTATACACTTGAACTGTGAGCCAGCCCCATTGAGCCCCTTTGTGGGGTTTACCTAGGGCTGGCCCCACCGATGAGGCAAGGTGAGGCGACAGCCTCGAGTGGCAGGATCCATAGGGGCAGCAGATCCGGCCTCCAATGAATGCCGCCATGATGGCAGTGACAGCTGCAGCGCTCTCCTTAGAGGCCAGATCTGCCATTTCCTTGGCAGCCAACCCAATACCACCTCTATAGTGACTTCTTGGCAAATAGGATGTGCTGCTGGTCTCCTCTCACCACTAGGTAGGAAATGACAGAGGTGCCCACTGTGGTCCTCTGGGCTCTGCACTCACCTGGTATGATTTTCCTCCCACGATGGCCTTTGATTCCCACTTCAATGTTCATGTAAGGTTGATTGATTCTCCCCCCTCTGTTCCCAGTGTAGACCTTCACTCACTCCTCCTTTCCTGGAGAGGGGTGCCATTTTGTGGTTAGCCTTGTGGGCTGGCCCTGAACTTACCTCTGAGTAAACATGCATTGGGATGCATTGTGTATTTCCTTTATTCCTTTTAATTGGTTTTGGACAGTGGGTGTTTCAGGTGTTGTTACCAACCCAAAGCCCTTGGGGAGGAAGCATATTAGAAATTGGGCTGACTAAATGTTTCTTGCACCTTGTGGAAGTTGCTGATCTTTTGCTATGTGAAAGAATTGTGCAGTCAAGGGAAATAGCACTTTAATTTGTGCAATTAACTCTATTCTCTTTTGGGAGGTGTGGACAAGCTGCAAGACAACGGTGTTATGCTGGGGCTTCCAATACCTTTAGGGTGGCCAGATTCAAAAAGAGGGTGGGGGTGCTTCTGCACCTCCTGCACAGAAGAGCAGATTTCAGAAAGTGGAGGCTGTCTTGCCAGCTGCACCTTCTGAAGATCCCCTGTGTGCCCCTCCTCTCTAGTCCTGGTGTGCGTGGAGTCATTGGTTCTGGAAATGCACTCTGTGCATTCTCTGTTGCTGCCTCTTACTCACAAACCCTCACACACTTTAAGGTCACTAGAATCCTGTTTGTATAAGATTGTGTTTCTAAGCAGAATGAAGGACTGATACTTCATATACAAAATTTATATATAATTAATTAATTCTCCGGGGACGCGGGTGGCGCTGTGGGTAAAACCTCAGCGCCTAGAACTTGCCGATCGCATGGTCGGCGGTTCGAATCCCCGCGGCGGGGTGCGCTCCCGTTGCTCGGTCCCAGCGCCTGCCAACCTAGCAGTTCGAAAGCACTCCCGGGTGCAAGTAGATAAATAGGGACCGCTTACCAGCGGGAAGGTAAACGGCGTTTCCGTGTGCGGCTCTGGCTCGCCAGAGCAGCTTTGTCACGCTGGCCACGTGACCCAGAAGTGTCTCCGGACAGCGCTGGCCCCCGGCCTCTTGAGTGAGATGGGCGCACAACCCTAGAGTCTGTCAAGACTGGCCCGTAAGGGCAGGGGTACCTTTACCTTTACCTTTAATTAATTCTCAGGAGCTTGCAGTGAAGGGTCGGACTCAAGCCCAGGAAAGGATTTTCTTCTGTTTATTCCCAATAAACAAAATAAGGTGAATGATTGAATTCTTCTGTGGCTCCAAAACACTCACCATGGAAGAGGATGCCCCACTGTTAAGAGGAGCTGGATTCTGTAAGATGTGTTTTGTTTGTGCAAGCCCATCACATTTGCGTACTTTTGCATAACACTTTTGCATAACTGATTCTACATGGACACATGGAAGGGGTCTGGCCCTGACCACAAAAAAAGCTAATGCCAGCTGTCAGGGGTTCAGGGACAGAGGCACAGGTGAGGAAGGAAACGGAGAGCGAGGGGGAAGAATCCCAGGACAGCGAGGAAGAGGATGACAATGACTTGAGGGATTCCATGAGTCTTTCAAGTGAATCGGAGGATTCCCAGAAGGGAGCGCCTGTGGTCAGGCCAAGGGGAGTCACAGGGGGGACTCGTCAGGAGCAGGGGACCAGCAGGGGAACCCAAAGTGAGAGCTGGGAGTCTGGACCGGCTTCTCCGCCAGAGCGCAGTGAAGGGGGTGGAGATTCCAGAGTGACAGGGGAAGCAGGTCCGAAAGCAGAGAGGGAAGGGAGATCGGAGCAAGACATCCTCCCGGAAGGGGAGGGGAGTAGTGCAGGAAGTAGTTTAACTGTCAAGAGGAAGGTTAGAGGTTGCGAACGCGCGCCAAGTTCAAATGTGGAGGCGCGCGGAAGAACAGGGAGCCCGGAGGAGGAGCCAGGTCCCAAAGCACGCAGGAGGGGGGAAGAGCTGTCTGGGGATTCCGCGTCAGGGGAATCCAGGAGGGGCGAAACCCCAGGGGGCAGGAAGACCCGGCGGAAAAGGAAAGAAAGGAAGAGGTGGAGCAGCACAAGCCTCTTAAACTGGTGCAGAGGCGGGACTGACTCAGAGGGGACTTCAGCGGTCTAAGCGTAACAGACGTGGGGCTGCGCGCCTCGGCTGTGGAGCGTACAATACACTGCAATAAACATCTTTGTATATAAACTGGACTTGGCGTTGGTCTCTTGTGAGCTGGGACCTGAGGCAGCCCTGACACCAGCAATCTCAGTAAGAGATATGGAGCAGTGCCTTCGAGTAAGCTACAAAAGTTGGAGTCCCTGATTTGCATCTCAGCTCTGCCATGAGCTTATGAGGGGGCCAAGGGGGCCAAAGGCAAGTTATGCTCTCTCTAGATTTCAACTTCCAGAGTTCGATGGGACTTACTCCTGAGTAAGCAGGTGTAGGATTGCAGCCTACCTCACTCTCTGCCTTCTGAGAGTTTGCTGACAGTGCAATCCTATGCATATCTGCCCACATGTAACCCCCATTGAGTCAGATGGGGTCACATTTACTCCAGGGAAATGTGTGCAGAATTGCAGCCCACAACAGACTTCTTTGTTGCTTTCTGAAATGCCAGAATGAGGAACCTATGGACCTCCAGAGATACTGTGGGACTCCAGCTCCCATCAGCCCCAGCCAACATGACCAGTAGTCAGGGATGATGGGAGCTGAAGTTTTACCAACATCTGAAGTGCCACAGGTTCCCTACCTCTGGCCTAATTTCATAGTGGTAGAAAGAAGGAAAAAATGGGAGACAGAGAGGAGAGGGGGTAGAGAGAGGGGGTGATGTACCCCCTTTGGGCTCTGCCTTCACCCACTGTCAACATGTGCTCCCTGCCACAGATCATGCTCAAACAGAATCCCCTGCCCACTCCTGATCCCATGGGATGAAATGGGAGGGAACCGGGTGGCTGTGCTTTGGGAGAGCAGCACATCTCAGACTAATGTCTCCTTGACTTTGCCCTTGCTGTTGGCTCCGAAGCACTTTAAACACCCATTCTGTTTCTTGTCCCCCCACCCCATCCTTCAGTGGCATCGCAGCTTGCCTTCCACCTTTCCTGGCTAATTGAAAAGATAGTGGGCCCAGATTACAGCCTTGCTGTGTAAATTGCTCAGGATGGGAGGCTGGCTTGACAGCCGGCGAGGGAGATGCTCTGGCCAATGAATCAATCATGAGGCAGTGGAACCGGAAAGTCTGCTCTGGGCGACGTCGCCCGATCCCCCTCACCGGCCCAGCCAAGGTGATGATTATTCACATAAAATGCAGGCTGATAGAATGTGTGATGCCATAATCCAAGTTGTCATGAGCTTTGCTGTGCCTTGGATATAGAACTGGTGCTGGACCACACATTATAATGAGTATTATTACTTATTGTTCTTACTGTGAAGCACCGGCTGCTGTGTTAGTTGAAGTGCAGGTTGAAACCAGGGGCTCCTGCGAGCGACCTGTTTTTGAGCATTCATCCTGATTTGCTTGCATGTAGCTTACATGGAGGTAGACTGTGTCTGCTCTTCATTGAGCATTTGTTCTGATTTGCTTAAGGGGCAACTATACCACGATGAGGGATGCGGGTGGCACTATGGGTTAAACCACAGAGCCTAGGATTTGCCGATCAGAAGGTCGGCGGTTCGAATCCCCGCGACGGGGTGAGCTTCCGTTGCTCGGTCCCTGCTCCTGCCCACCTAGCAGTTCGAAAGCACATCAAGTGCAAGTAGATAAATAGGTACCGCTCCGGCGGGAAGGTAAACGGCGTTTCCGTGTGCTGCTCTGGTTCGCCAGTCCTGCTGGCCACATGACCCAGAAGCTGTACGCCATCTCCTTTGGCCAATAAAGCGAGATGAACACCGCAAACCCAGAGTCGTCCATGACTGGACCTAATGGTCAGGGGTCACTTTACCTTTATACCATGATGAGCATTTATCCTGATTTGCTTGTGGGGTGTTATTCAGTTGTTCCTCCTACACTTTTCAGTGCACTTCCCTGTTGCTTTTTGTTGCACAAGAGCCCTTTAAACATAAGGGTATATGAATAACCTCTTGGATCCGACCAGTGGCCCATCTAGTCCAGCATTCTGTTCTCACAGTGGCCAGCCAGATACCTGTGGGAAACCTGCAAGCAGGACATCTAGTTGAATACATCTAGTTTAGATGTATTCAAGTCTCCAGGGCCAGACGAACTGCATCCAAGAGTATTAAAAGAACTGGCAGATGTGATCTCAGAACCACTGGCAGTCATCTTTGAGAATTCCTGGAGAACAGGCGAAGTCCCGGCAGACTGGAGGAGGGCAAATGTTGTCCTTATTTTCAAAAAGGGGGAAAGAGAGGACCCAAATAATTATCGCCCAGTCAGTCTGACATCAATACCAGGGAAGATTCTGGAGCAGATCATTAAGCAAACAGTCTGTGAGCACCTATAAAGGAATGCTGTGATCACCAATAGTCAGCATGGATTTCTGAAAAATAAGTCATGTCAGACTAACCTGATCTCGTTTTTTGACAGAATTACAAGCCTGGTAGATGAAGGGAACACAGTGGATGTAGCCTACCTTGATTTCAGCAAGGCATTCAACAAGGTGCCCCATGATATTCTTGTAAAGAAGCTGGTAAAATGCGGTCTTGACTATGCTACCACTCAGTGGATTTGTAACTGGCTGACTGACTGAACCCAAAGGGTGCTCATCAATGGTTCCTATTCATCCTGGAGAAGAGTGACTAGTGGGGTGCCACAGGGTTCTGTCTTGGGCCCGGTCTTATTCAACATCTTTATCAACGACTTGGATGATGGACTCAAGGGCATCCTGATCAAATTTGCAGATGACACAAAACTAGGAGGGGTGGCTAACACCCCAGAGGACAGGATCACACTTCAAAATGACTTTGACAGATCAGAGTACTGGGCCAAAACAAACAAGATGAACTTTAACAGGGAGAAATGTAAAGTATTGCACTTGGGCAAAAAAAATGAGAGGCACAAATACAAGATGGGGGACACCTGGCTTGAGAGCAGTACATGTGAAAAGAATCTAGGAGTCTTGGTTGACCACAAACTTGACATGAGCCAACAGTGTGATGCGGCAGCTAAAAAAGCCAATGCAATTCTGGGCTGCATCAATAGGAGTATAGCATCTAGATCAAGGGAAGTAATAGTGCCACTGTATTCTGCTCTGGTCAGACCTCACCTGGAGTACTGTGTCCAGTTCTGGGCACCACAGTTCAAGAAGGACACTGACAAACTGGAACGTGTCCAGAGGAGGGCAACCAAAATGGTCAAAGGCCTGGAAACGATGCCTTATGAGGAAGGGCTAAGGGAGCTGGGCATGTTTAGCCTGGAGAAGAGGAGGTTAAGGGGTGATATGATAGCCATGTTCAAATATATAAAAGGATGTCACATAGAGGAGGGAGAAAGGTTGTTTTCTGCTGCTCCAGAGAAGCAGACATGGAGCAATGGATCCAAACTACAAGAAAGAAGATTCCACCTAAAAAGAGGAAGAACTTCCTGACAGTAAGAGCTGTTCGACAGTGGAATTTGCTGCCAAGGAGTGTGGTGGAGTCTCCTTCTTTGGAGGTCTTTCAGCAGAGGCTTGACAACCATATGTCAGGAGTGCTCTGAAGGTGTTTCCTGCTTGGCAGGGGGTTGGACTCGATGGCCCTTGTGGTCTATTCCAACTCTATGATTCTATTCTATTCTATTCTATTCTATTCTATTCTATTCTATTCTATGACATGAGTGCAAGAGCAGCCTTCTCCCCTCCTGTAGTTTCCAGCAGCTGGGATTTGGAAGCATTGCTGCTTCTGACTCGGGGGGCAGAGCAGAGCCATTGAGGCCAGTAGCCGCGGGGGGCTCATCCACACTTACCTTTTGCCCCACACTTTATAGGCACAGATGCATGCTTTCCCCTGTCTGCGTCCAAGCCTTCTTTTGCCTTTTGCCCCACCACTTTCCCAAGGAAAACCTACTCTTTACAGTAATGCTGAATTGGGGTTTTCTGTGAATTGCCATTGGCTCTGGTTCAGCAGTAAAGGGAGGGTTTTCTTGAGGTAAGCGCTGGTTGGGGCGGGTGGTGGAGGAAGCACTCGGACACAGAGCTTTAGAGTGTAGACTTGGTCTTAGAAACATGGCACGGAAGGAGGTCTGGATGAGCCCTGATAGCCTTATCAATTGACAGCCTTATTTAATCCACTTTAAATACACAAACCTCAAGCTTGGATATATACTTCAATCCCTTCCACAAAATACTGAACGTCTGGAGGCCCCTTAAAACATGTACAGCAGCTAGCACCATGGCTTACAAGAGGGATGGGAAACTTTTGGCCCTCCTGATGTTGCCAGATGCCAGCTCCCATATGCAGCCCTCCTCCTACATATAGCAGAAAGTGGTAACTCCAGGAACCCCCACCTCTACCCCTGGTTTGTTATATAAAATTGGCAATTACCTGTTGTTGGATGGTTGCTGTTAATCCTGCGTGGCAGCCTTCCTCTTTTGCCTGCTTTTGTGTTAGGAAAGACTCTCCAGGAAATTCATGGGCCATCTCCCCTTTCTCCGGTGCAGTCTTTATTTTCTAATGTTTTATCAGCTTGCTTAATTAAAACTCTGTTCATTATACAGAGCTCAGGGCTGCCCTTTGTTCTCACAGAGCAAAACATTTGCTGCTGTATTATTCCCCACATGACTGGAGACTTGTCAAAACAGATCTCTTTGAGATCCCATACTATTTGGGCATGGCTTCAGCCCAGAGGCACTTATGTATGCCTATATTATCACCATCTCCATCCTGCTCTTTTAGCTAGAGAACTCAGGCCAGCATCCGTTGTTCTCCCTTCCACCTGACTTATCTTTACAACAACCCTGTGAGGGAGATTGGGCTGAAAGAGGCCCTTGGCCCAAGGCTACTCATTAGGCTGGAGCAGCCAATGTTCTGCTGTCCAGGCGGTGTTTGACCTCAACCCTCATCATCGCTGACCATTGGCCATGCTCCCTCGTCATTATAATTCTTGCACTGCTTCACTCCCAGTGGGTGATGCTACATGCGCAGTGGTATCACTGGTTTCCCAGCCCTTTGCGTTCTTCCGCATGACTTGCTTCCAGGATTCGTGTGACTCGACCGGAGGCAGCAGTAATTGCTCAAATGCATGAGCCTGGGCTCTGTAATTGAATTTGCAGTCCCTAATCCGATTGCCAGGTGCTGGTTAACACGCTCAAGGCCCTGCAATGGCATTAGGGGGCTCCTCAGTCATTTCTCAGCCTTGTAGCTGGCCAGGAAAATGCATCTCCCCCCCCCACACACACTTCAACGCTGCCCTGACTCAGAGCCATCTGGATCTGCAAAGTGGAAAGAAAGTCTTTGAAATGCTGCAGTGTGACACTGATGTATGCATGAACGTCTTCGAAGCTCCTAGACAAAGGAGCATATGGAACTGTTTTATAATGACTTGGGTTGTTAGTCTATCCAGTTCAGAATTGCCTTTCCCTGATCAGCAGGGCCTCTCCAGGGCTTCAGGCAGGAGTCTTTCCCAGCCCTACTTTAGTGATGCTGAGGAATGAACCCCGGGACCTTTTGCACATACAGCATTTTCTCAACACAATTCAGAAATCCCAACCAGCTCTTCCAAATCCAGCAGAATCCCAGGTAACTGAGTGATTCCTAAACCAGACAGGGTTAACATCTTCAGCCTCAGTCTCTTCCAGGCGTGTGTGTGAGACTTGGAAGTCGTATTCCAGGCAATGTGACCAATAAGAATGTGCATTCTAAGAATGTAAAAAGAGCCCTGCTAGATCAGGCCAAAGGAGTCCCATTTACTCTGTTGTTACAATGACCAACCAGATGCCTGTGAGAAGCTGGCAAGTAAGAAGGAACCTGAGCTCAACAGCACTTGCCATTCCCAGCAACTGGTACTCACTCAGAGGCATACTGCCTCCAACGGTGGAGGTGAAATATAGCCACCTTACAAACATTAAGTGCTGACATTCATACTATCTCATTTCCTATTACAATATGGATTTTCAGATTCTTTTTTTAATATAAAAACCCTCCCCTTCCTCCCACTGTACCCCCTCTGCCTACTTTATCCTGACAACAACCCTGTGAGGTAGGATAGGCTGCGAGGTTACTCAGGGTCACCTGGTGAGAAACACAGCTGAGTGAGGATCCCAGTCCCAGTCTGACATTCTGACTACTGTGCTACACTGGCTTTCCTTGCCACAAAGAGCCAAGGCTGTTAACTGCACTGGACCAAAAGTGGATTGTAATGGTAGTGAAGCCTGTGCAGAAGACCTATCCATTGGGCATTCATCCTTGCAGCTGTTGTCAGGTGATGGCAGTTGCTTATTGAACAGTCATTCTGATTTCTTCGTTGGGAAGGTAAATGCTGCTGCTGCTGCGCCAAAGAAGTGCAATCCCACACTTCTCAGTGCATTCCCCTTAATGTATAAAGTCTGATCTTTAGGGGAAGTGGGCTTCTTGTGCAAGACCCCCCCCCCCCCGACCAACTATAACTGTGCAAGCTGAATTTGCCACAAGGCAGCTGAATCCAGCCCCAAAGCAGTGACAGTCTGGAAGCGCCCTTGCTCAGACACCCTTCCCTCACCCCTTCTGTAGCGACACGGGGCTGTAGGGAGGCTTGATGTAGAGAACAAGCACTTCCAGGATTGACTGTGCAGAAAGATCACCTGCTAGGTAATGGGTAATCTCCAGGCCTGGTGGCTTTTAGGAGCCTTGGGCATTTTCGGAAGACTGCATCACACACAGAGATACCTCCTCCCTACATGTGTCCATCTCTGCTCAGTAACTTGAGTCTCTCAGGCCGTTGCCATGGTAATAGAACACCGCAGCAAAGCCCATAAGAGCAAACAGATTCCTAGTGTAGGAACTCAGCCGGCTGGAGTGAAAACCCACTGAAACCATTCCCCTTTGTTTGTGCTTGAAGAGACTGCTGGGGAGGCTCAGATAGTTGAGAGGACCTAGGCAAACTCCCCTCTACATGCCCAGGAGCACCTGAATCCTACTCCCCACCTCCCATGCACAGTGCATTGCGCTGGTGGTGCTGAGCAGCGCCACTGAGCATATCTGAGCATCTTTGCCATTGGAAACCCTTCCCTAGGCATCTGTGGGTCATGTAAATCCTTTCCTGTGGGAGAACAGCCAGCAATGGCATTTTTATTTTAAGGAGGCAAGGCCTGTGCAAAGCAAAACAATCCCTCCTCTGGGATGCATTTTGTTAAGGAGGAGAGCGCTGACTCCTTAGCCTCCGCAAGGAATGACGAGACCATTGAGAAGCAAGAAGAAAGCAGATGGCTTTGTCTTCTCCTTCTCTTTTGACTCTTACTTGTTGTCCCAGCCTAGCCTGCAGCACAGATCTCTCTGCTTTGGAGTGCCAGCCTGGGAATTGGCTAAGTGGCTCTTTATGCGCAATTGCTATTCCCTTGGCCAGCCGGGGCACCAACCTGCCCTTTCAAGAAAGCAATAAAAGGCCAGCTGGTCCCCTGTTTGTGAAATGCAAGCCAGGTCTTTGCTGCAGAGGAAGTGGGAGAGAGTTGGTGTACAAGACACGCAAAGAAAGACTTCAGCTTGAAGGAGCCTGAAGCAATTCTGCATCTGCGTGGGAGATGATTTAAACAGGTGTGCAGGTGTTGTGTGATGCTTTAAGAGGGGGAAGAGCATACATCCACTGCAGAAGGCAAAAGGCAGCTTGGATACAAATGGCAAGTCTAGCTCAATACTGGAGAGGCAGAAATTAGACTACCTTTTTCTTTGCCATGCTATGCTAACCTGTGGTTTGCAGTCATGGCATTGAAGGAGAAGAGTGGCTCAAGAGAGCCAGTATGGTGCAATGGTTAGTGTTGAACTGTGACCTGGGAGATCAAGGTTCAAATCCCCACTCAGCCATGAGGCTCACTGGGTATGACCTTGAACTGGTCACCATTTCTCAGCCTAACCCACCTCACAGGGTTGTTGGGAGGAGGAAGTGGGGAGGAGAACCATGTACACCACCTTGAGCTCCTTAGATTCTTTAATAAACAACAGTAACAAACAAAGGCCAAGTGGGTATTTGAATACTGGTCTCCCAAGTCCTTGTCTGAGCTCCACTCTGGGTTTCTATGTCTCTTGTCCATGTTGTGGTGAAGGAAGAAGAGACGGTTGCCCTGAAGGCAATGGAGCACAGGCTATCTCATCAGAGAAGCTCAGGAAAAGGCCACACTTCACCTGCAGAAGGTCTTGAGTTCAATACCTGGCATCTCTAAGTAAGTCTGGCAAAGACTTTGGTCTGAAACCCGGAGGCCCCTGCACAATGACTGCAGACAGTACTGAGCTAGACAGGCTAATGGTCTGACTCAGTATAAGACGGCTTCCTCTGATTCTGGCCTGCTATTTTAAGAGAAGGACAGACTTCTAGGTTCCAGAAGAGGAGCTTTAGCTACTACAGTCACTTGGGATTATTCAAGGCCTCAATGCCATTAGGAGGACAATGTCACACACAGATGCCATCTGCCAAAACCAGGGCTGAGACACTTATTTGGCACAGTGAGCCAGATTCTCCCACCTTCACCTCACAGGCCAATTTTGATAGATGGGCAGGGCCACCCACCTGCCAATTACCCAATAGGCCAACCAGATTCCCCACCCCTGGGTTTTGGCAGATGGTACCAGTGTGACGTTATCCTTGTGCAGGCCTTGAGCAATCCCAGGCACTAGGTCACTGGGGAGAGAGCGGCTAAGCAAGATTGAACTTCCTGTGCATCAGCTGACACACAGTGAGTTCAATCCTGCTTTGCCCAACTGCATCTCTACCTGCTGCATACTAGACATCACATATGATATTAGGTGTTGAGCAGGTTGGCGTGGTTTGGGGGAAATGGCCTGGCAGGCCAAATGCGGAGGGCCACAGTCCACCCTAGGCCTAAACTATCTGGATTTCGGGTCCAATGTGAAGAAAAGGAAGCAGCAGCACAGAGAAGCAAAGCTCTGGAGGAAGACAAATTGCATCAATAGTGTCTGTGGCCTGAAGCTATTAAATACAGGTAGGGGGATAGCATTCAGCCCACTGGTGAGATGCAGGTGTGCAAATGGCTGTGCATGTACTGGAAGATCAAAAGCTTGCCACTGCCAACTGGGAAAGGCACAAAGCAAAATTCAGGAAAGCTGAGATTCTTGGCTGAAGCCTGGGAGTGGGCCTTTTAAAACACAAACAAACCCGTGACAGCATCCAAGCAGTGACAGCCTCCTAGAGACAGAGTTAAATATTTATCAGTGCTGAGATGATGTACCACCTGGCAAGATTCCCTGTGCAGCTCCTTTGAAAGCGGAGCTTTCCTGATACTAGGAATGCTTGCCTTCTGGGATCTCTTGCCTAGTAGATAAAGGGAAGACATTTTACAGCCCTACAGCTCAGTCGTATCGCAACAGTACATGGAAACATGGGCAAGCCTTGGCTCTTACCTTTCTTGAGGCTGGAAAGGGCGGATACTAAGGCTGGGTCAATGTCGCAAGGGACCCCTGCAGCTGTGGCTAGTTCAAAGATGCTCAAGGTCACCTAAAGAGAAGGGTGAAAGGGCAGAACCAGGTGTTGGTAATGCTGCTGCTGGGCCTTGGTCTCTTGGTCTCACTGCAACATATCAGACCTGGTTGGCACATGCACAAAAATAAGGTGGCAGGATTCTGGACTGTAAGACTGCAGGTGGGGAATATAATCTTTTACATTCTCTCCATGTTTTATAAAACAAAACTGTGCACTTAAAAAAGGAGGCAGCACACATAATGGAGAAAGGGTAGTACAGTGGTACCTCGGGTTACAGATGCTTCAGGTTACCGACTCCGCTAACCCAGAAATAGTACCTCGGGTTAAGAACTTTGCTTCAGGATGAGAACAGAAATCATGCGGCGGCGGCGGCAGAGGGAGGCCCCATTAGTTAAAGTGGTGTCTCAGGTTAAGACCAGTTTCAGGTTAAGAACGGACCTCCAGAACGAATTAAGTTCTAAACCCGAGGTACCACTGTACTTTCCTGCTATACTAGTTTACTAAGGAGGGCAAACAAAAAATCTTACAGGAGGACTCACGCAAGAGACAAAGCTAGCTAAGACATGGCATTTCACCTAATTTCAAGCTGAAAAAACACTGCACTATTTAACAGAATTTCAGATATGGTAAATACATTACATAAGACATGAGAGCCCCATCAAGACATTTGCTCCATCCTGCTGCCTTAATGGCATATACAGACATGGAGACAAATCCTACTAAGCCCAGAAGTACCCAGCCTAAACAACCAAATCAGGGCTTCTAGAATGGGAACACCAAGTAATATAATGTGTCAGGAATCAGTCCCACTGAGAAGAATCAAACGAACTGTGGAGCAAGGAAACACAATTCCTGGTTTATTAATGGGGGTTGGGGGAGGGAAACCTCTTAGGGACCCACAGTTTTGAGCCTAGCTACTATGCTCCCTTTTCTTTACCCATGTATTTATTTGATTTGGTCCTTCACAATGGTCAGCTGCTTTTCCAACCATAAAGCTGTTCAAGCCAAACATAGATCCACAATAAAACAATAGTACAATATGACCAAAACCATAAAGGATCATCTTAAGAAAAACCGTACCCAATATGAATAGCACTGGCAGCTGAAAAGCTGTCCCGAGAGTTCAAAAAGCTAAGTAAGTATCTATTCAAGGGCTGGGAAACTCCCCAGGGTCAGGCACAGGCAAGCCTTCTTAGAGGACTCCTTACAAAGTTGGGGTGTCATCACTGAGAATGCTACATTCTGAGTCGCAGATAGAATAACCTCTTAAAGAGAAGAGACCTAGAGTGTCTGTATTATGGAGTGGTTCATAAGAGAGGAGATGCTCCTTGTGTTATTCTGGGCCTGGGCCATTTGGGACTTTTCTTTTGAAGTGTGCCTATGTATGCATATGCAATATTGCAAGGAAAAATGGCGGCTGGGATCCAGCAGTCACCGCAAGTACCAGGGACAAGAGTAAAAGAATAAGTAGATGTAGAGGCCTTGAACAGTGGTCAGAGAAAGCTGCTAGGTGCGATCTTGTCCAGAAGGCACTTAATTTAGGGTCCTCCAATTCTTTCACTAGGCAAATGTGCTGACATAAAAATCTAGCTGAGAAAAATGCTAGGGAAGCGGGCATGTTGACACTCCCTTCCTCCCACACTAGGATCTTTTTGACAGCTCTTCACCCCTATCATGCTTCCCTGGATCTGAGCAGTCAGAGAAATCTCCCTCGTGTTCCCTCTCCCTGGCAGCAGCAGCAGCAGCAGCAGCAGCAGCAGCAGCAGCAGCAGCAGCAATGAATACGATCGATATGAAAGCTGGGGAACTGACACTCAAATCACAAGAGACATGAAACAAGACAACCAAAGGCTTAGGTCCTTGATTTTACTACAATCTCCGAATCCCCCTTTCAGGAATTTTAATTCACCTTCCCGAAATAACCTTTACTCCCTTTGCCACCATCACTCTCTCTAGCACATCTCTACTGTTCACTGAAAAACCCTGCTCTCTCTCCTTTCCTGTGAATCATTTTGTATAGCTTATAACAGTGTTTCCCAACCGGTGTTCCGCGGCACACTAGTGTGCCGCGAGACGTTGCCTGGTGTGCCGCGAGATGTTGCCTGGAGGGAGGCGGGCGAGTCGGGCGGCGAGAGGCGGGGCGGCGGCGGCGAGGAGAGGCCGCCCAGCGCGGGGCTCTCGCCGTCTGCCTGCCTGGCTGCCTGCGTGGCGCTGACGTCACGGGGCTGTAACGTGCCCCACATAGGCACACGCGGGGCGGCGAGCGAGCTCCCTCCCACATCCCATCGCCGCTCGCTTCGGCCGGCCTACTGGGCTGTCGCAGGCGGAAGGCCTGCGCATGCGCGAGGTTTTCGCGCCTTCGGGATTTCCTTCATGCCTTCCTCCTCCCGGGTCCTTGAGAGCGCGGGAAGCGGCAGCGCGAGACCGGCGTTGAGCCTGGTAGGTATTGCGCTTGCCAAGGCAGTCATTTGGGAAATGAAAACTTGCAAAGCAAGCAACCAGTTCAATCTGAAGTACGTGTATGCTTAATATCCTGTATCTGAAACCTGTTCTGCCCCCTCCCCCACACTTGGTGCCATTTTCGACTACACATGCAGCAGAGTAAGTTGACCCAGAATAGTACCAATTCAGATGGCAGATGGGAGAATGACAGTGCTGAATGCTTTCCCATGTAGAACAGTCCCTGCAAATAAAAACCTAGCATATTTGGAAGAGGGATGCTAGCCTAACCATTACCTTCTATGCTGTTACTATTTTTTTATTTTTTTTTACATAAGTAAAAAGTGACCTTTCCCCATCTGGCATGGTGGTGTGCCTCGAGATTTTTTTCATGAAACAAGTGTGCCTTTGCCCAAAAAAGGTTGGGAAACACTGGCTTATAAGTCCTCTGGGCATGGAGGTGGGATGCATCAACAACACCTACTGCACCACTGGCACGAAGGGAACCGCTAGACTGGTGTTTTTAGGCAAGTGTATCCTGCAATATGTTCTTCACACAATAATAGTGCACCAGTGGTGGATTTGTTTTGCTTTATTAGCTGTTCTACGGTGCTTCCCCAATGCTACCACATCATGGCTGTCTTCAGTAGCTATAGCAGCACACCAAGAGGGGGGAAAGAATGTCTGTGGTATTAAAAGTTGCACGATTTCAGCAGGAAGTTACAGGATATGCTCTAGTTAGAAATTAAGCAGTATGACAGCTCCAAAACTTTTGCAGATGTGAATAGTGTTCTGCTGAATTATTTAGCTGGTGAGTCTCTGCATGTTTTACGGCAGGCACACTGACATAATGTAACATGTAATGCAACGTGCTTCATGCAGAAGCCCTCAAGTGTGTAAACCCAAGTTGCATGACCTCCTTTCTATAAGGAGGAAGAACCATGTGAATCAGTCCTCCGTGTGTATCGGTTGCTGCATGGCAGGCACACTTCATGTGTGGAGACAGGGGAGGTGGGGCCCATGACTGCTCCTGTATCACATAAATTGGGCCGCAGTACTAGCCCTGTAAACTTATGAAATGGAATTGCATTTCTAGCTGCTTCCAGAAGAGAGGGAGTTGTGGGGAGAGAGAGAAGAGAAATTAACTAAACGTGAAAGGCTTCTGCAGATTTCATGTAAGTTGGCACAGTAGGCAGTTGGGGGTTGGAAAAAGTTTTAAAACATTTATAGTTGTTAAAAGCAGAAGCGACCAGCTACAGCTGCCTCAAGCCCATTCTTGTGTGCTATCTGAAGCATCTCTGTGAAACACACTTCTCATCTTGATTCAAGAGGCTGTGAATGACAGAGCACCCAGCCCCCTCCTTGGGCAGCCTGTGCCAATTAATCACCCTTGTGGTTAAACATTGCAACTTATTTCTAAATATTTTTCTAACTCTTAATTCCTGGCTGTTGCTTCACATTCTGTCTTCTCCAGCTAGTGAAAGATCAGAGAACTCTGCTGAAAGAAAAGGAAACTCACTGCCGAGGCTTGAAAACAAGTCTATCTGGGTGTCCCTCCAACTTCTAGGAAGACGAATTTCTGGGGAGCAAGGCTAGCCCTACACAGCAGGGTTACAAAATGTGCGACTGGCCAAGTCCTTCTAGCCACGTTTGGTTTTGGAATCAGCCAAACAAAATGGGGACTGAGAAAGGAGAGACACTGTCTCCTTCCTGCTGGGCATTGTAAATTAGACCTTTACAAGCTCCAGTTCCATATAGATGCGCAGTGGCTGATTACCTGCATTGGTCCCAGTGTTCTGATCTCATGCATATGCAGCAGGCATCCCCATTCCCCAAAGCACATGCTGCATGGCTTGGCCTGAACTGTCACTTTTCACCTATGTGGCAGGAAATGTGTCCTGAGGGCATGGCAAATTAACAACAGCAACAACAACCTGCATAGTGTCAGTGCCATCACCCTCCCTGCTGGTCCACCTCAATGCTATTTGTATACAAATAGCACGCGTGCACACACACACACACACACACACACACGTAAGCAACCAGAAGGCATTACATGGGCAGATCTCCCACTGATCATTCCCCAACCCCCAGCTCTTCCCACCCAAAAGTAGCTTGGGTTCCCTTCCAATTTGATCCAGAGCCCATTTGAGGGAACTTGCCTGTTCCGACTTCCTTCTTAAGGCCTGGCAAGGCAAAGGTGAGAGCGCCCATGTCTTTGCTCCCAAAGGCATTTGCTTGTGTGGATGGTGATGAGGAATTAAGAGAGGTGTGTGAAACAGCACCACCTAGTGACACCAGGATAAGCCAGGAAATACTCCTTTAAGATGCACACGAACGGCTTTTAAAAAGCTCTGTGGGACGTGGCCTTTTTCATTAGTGCAACAGTTGAGACTCTGCTGCCATTGCTTTTTCTTTATCAAAAAAGGTGGAGAAGGGAAGGAACATTAGAAAAAGCTTACTCTTCAAAGGGAAAGAGAAACCTACAGTGCCAGCTCTGCCCGCCTCCCCTGGAGAAATGCTGCTTTGAAAGAAACCCAGAGAGGAGCTGGTGTCTCTAAGCAGTTGAAAAGAGG